TAAATATGTACGTGCATACATACAGACATACATACATACATACATACATTATGTGCATACGCTTATTAAATGTGATTTGTGTGTGAAGAAAGCAATATTGCTTGTTGTGTGTGGGATTTTATAGAAAGTACTCTAAAATGATAGAAGTTCCTCAGCTTATTAATATATGCATACATGTGTATGCTTGTAACATGTGTATGCATGTAACATGTGTATGTATGTTTGTGTGTAGAATGTGCTGTTTTATAAAGATCTCCTCACAATAAAGAGAAAATACATATTTCGCCCAGTTTCGCCTCTTCTCCAATGGCTAACACGTGGCGACCTTCGACGTGCACTTTTTTCATTTCCCCCTTTTTATCATTTCAGAGCTTGTTTAAAACATAAATGTTGCATTATCTGTCAATCCAGCAGCACTAGGGCGCATCAATCGTCAGTGAATTCTAAAATGTGGCCTAAGTTATCAAAAAAAAGAAGCCAGAGGAAACGGGATTGTTCAGACAAAATTTAATATTCTGTGCCATATCAGGAAAAAACTGGTATAATAAATTAAAATAAAAAAAAATTTAATTAAATATATGTAAATATAATAAGAACACAAAACACTAAACACTAAAGCAAGATCAAATAAAATCAAATTTAAAAATCGAAAAAAACTAAATGAAAATAATTGAAAATATATAGTAACATAAATTCAATTTACACTATTATATTTAAATTAGAACTATTAAGTCCTAACAATTATTCAAATTCGTTTCCCTTTGAAATTCTCATTACATAAAATATTTTTATTTTACCTATACCTATACATAATTTATAAGCAAAAACTAAAAAATTGTTATTTTAAAAATAAGTTTTATCAAATATTTAGAAAACAAAAGTGAGGAAACAAAAAGATAAAAAAATAGAAAATAATAATGAGTCATACGTTTTTAGAAAGTCATTACAATAAAAATAGTCAATTAATACAAATTTGAAATTTAGGAAAATTCAAAAAAGCTAAAAGTTCTGATTTAAGATAAAGTCAGTCTTTTTTCAACAATTTGAAAATGAAGTAAATAAAAGCAGTGCGTGGAAAATATTTTGAAATTGAAAATTATGTAAATTTAAATTACAAGACAAATAAATGTATATTTAATCTAGAAATAAATATTTAATGAAAAATATATATCTAATTAAAGAAATCTTAAACTTCAATTTACCAAAAACTGTCAAGTTTAATAAAATTTTACGTGATTCCAAAAAAAGTTATGAAAACATGAAAAAAACAAAACAAAATAACAAAAAACAAAACAAATATCAAAGTTGTAAAACTTATAACAACTAAACCAGCTATCTTTAGTTTTTTATTTGAAACAAGAAAATATTTCAAATGCTTCAAAAATTAAAACTGTAAATATAGTTTTAAACTTTTTATAATATAAAAATATAATTTAAGAAAGCAAAATGAATTGAAATTAAAAAACAAAACTATCAAAACAACAGCAAAGACTAGAAAATTAAATTCAAACAAATTTAAATAAATTACGAACCAAAAATATTATTATTGTTAATTTGGTGAAATAAAAAATTATAATCGTAAAATTCAAAAACAAAGGGTCTTATCAAAAAAAACTGAGCAATTGGTTTTTCTAAAAATTTCAGGGGTTTTACTTAAATTTAGTTGAACAAATCGAGTAAAAGTTCTGAAATTTTAAGAAAAAGCATCTGCTTAGGTTTTATTCATACGGCCGCGTAGTTTTAGTAGAAATTGAGGTGTGAAAAATATATAAAAATTACACTTAAAAATTGTAGATACTAATTATCTACTTTAAACAAAATTTACAATTCTTGAAAAGTGAAAAATTAGGGTTTATAAATTTTAATTGCTTCCAATTGATTTACGTTTTTTTTATTAGAACTTATCTTAACAGTTTTTTTGTTGTTAAATTTTCAATCTCTAAGGCGGGCATTAATTTCTTTGTATTCCTGCAGTTTTGAAGAAGAAACGTTGCATTTCATTAAACTAACTTTAAAATCTTTTGTTGTTGGTTTTTTTTTTAATTGCTATTAGGTAATACATACATACAATCGCTTCTTACAAAACGTTTTTAGAACCAAAAAAAAACATATCAAAAAATTTAAAAGTCGCTTCACTATAATGTTAGCGTTGCTGCTTCAATATATTTAAATAACTCGCTGTTATAGACTTTTAATCTACAAATAAATAAAAATGCTTAAATCTCCAAACTAGCATCATCGCATTCTAGGTCTAATATATTCTTTGCGAGTAAATCCCATATAAAACTAAAAAAAAATAAATAAATTTTATTTATTTATTTTCTTATGCGTTTGTGGATGATTCCTTAGTCTACACATTTTTCTAAACTATAATTTAATAAAAAAATAAAATGAAAAATAAAGAAATTATCGTAAAAAAACGTCGAAATTTTTTTTAGTTTTTATTAAGAAAATCAGCCGAGAAAAATTTTGAACTTTTAGCTGACCATTTTTCCCCCTAAATATTAGTTTTTCGCCTGCAATTATATCTCAAAATTGAAAAATCATTGAGATTGTCGTTTATAAAGCAAATGTTGATCCCACCAAGTTTAGTAGATACAATTAAAATAAAAAATAAAAATTAAAAATGGGTAATCATCTAATCTAAACTAAAATAATGCAGAAAAATAAAAAACAGTAAGTAAACCAATGAGATCCCTATAATTTGTGTTTTTACATTTATTTTTTTCCAAAATTATTTTTCTTGGAAATAAATTTATAAAATTTTTGGAAAGAAATTTATTTTTTATTTTAAATAATTTTTTGTATCAATAAGTATTGTAAGTATAAGTTCCTTCATTTTATTCTTATCCTAAAATGATTATTTTGGAAAAGCTTTTTTAGAAAAAATTATCTTTTTTTTGAAAAAATCTATTTTTTTTTTGGTAAAAATTTATTTTATTGTATTCATAAGTTGCCATTCTTTACATAAAAATTTCAATAAAACCTAAAACGTGTCTAAAGTATTTTGAAAAATTTTGATATTTTTTCCTAGGTGTAGATACGTAAAAATTAAATCTGGTCGTCGCATGCAATTATTTAATACAAAAAAATATATAAAAACAGCAATTAAACCCATAAAATGTTTCTTCTTTTTATTAAATTTATTAGTTGACCATCACGTATTCTCTTTGAAATGCCGTTATTGTTATCAGCAGCCATTTTTTTCATTTTCCTATGCTGCATACATACATACGCACATACATACAAGCCTATACATATAGGTATGTACTTATATCAATTCAATTTCATTGCCTTCATTGTCAACATAAAATTGTCACATAGCGGTTTAGCATCAAAGGAAGATTTACAGACGCACAAACATACATACATATTAAAATGTATCTATAGATATACATCAACTCCCCGGCAATGGAAACGTTGATACTTCCACGCAGCATGTGGGCGCACTTTGAAATCGAAGGATATGCCGCCAATCGCCACTATGTGCGGCGAGTCCTTCGATTTCGATATTTTTTTTTCTTTTGGAGGACATTAACTGTATTTTAGGTCGCTTTGTTTGACCTTGTATAATGTCATGTCATACATACATACATACATAAATGTACAATTGGCTGCAATTGGAGACACGTTTCGAGGGTTACTCGCAGTAAGAATGTGCAATTAAATGCAATGGAGAGAAGAAAGAGAATCTTCTTATTGCAAAATGGCTACTGCAAGCGCGGCAAACTGTTGGTGGTCCAAATTGAAAAAAAGAAAATCTTCTACTTTTTCTCGACTGCCCTTGAAATTCTACTATTTTAGAAAGTATTAAGCACAAATATTTCTTACGAATGCCTTCTCTTCAATTACTTAGAGATACAATTATCAAGAGTCTACTCTCCTATTCTAAGCCAAAAATGCTTTAAACTCACACTCACCCGAACTGGGTCGATCGCTGTAGCGCGTACAGTACACCCACGCTGGCCACATTTCACTCTTGCCGCCCTCGGTTGTGGTGGAGCCCGTTTCGGAGCGCGTATCATCCGAGGACTCCATGCCCGAGTCACGGCTGACAGCCGACGGTGGCGGTATTGGCTGGGGACTGCTGCTTTTGCTGGGCAGGCGGCTGGTGGGTGAACAATTTAGCGAACTGCCCGCCGACGTGGACGATGAGGCTGAGGAGGATGTGCACGACGCATTGGAAGCAGGTGGCGGACTGGCAATGCTTGACGCGCTTGTCGCGGAGGAGGCGCTGGAGCAGGCTGGTGCCGCCACAGTTTGGCCTATTTGCGAGACCGCTTTGCAGAGCGAACCCAAAGCAGACTTTTCCATTGCGGCGCCCACCGTGCCGACGGCAGCTGGTGAAAGCTCTGCTGTGCCAATCGTTCCATTTTCGTTGCACTTCACAACAGCCGGTGGCAGCACGCCACTGCGTCGCATGCGACTGTTGACGATCTCCTCGTGTATGCGTGGATACGCGGCGGGATTGAAGCAATTCAAAAAGTTAGCGCGCTCCAGCATCATAGCGGCGGTGGCGGCGGCGGCAGCTGCCTGCTGCTGTCGACTCAGCTCCAGCAGGTCGACACGCGTGAAGGCGGAGGGTGTGGCAGAGCGCGCGGCATCGAAGGGCCTAAAAATGCTATTTGTATGCAAGTGCGCTTGCTTGGGCGCCGCTGTGCTCTGCATGTGCGGGCCGTTGGAACTGCGGCTGCCCGGCTCGCTGCCGCCAAAGCGATCGCTAAGTATATTGGAGATCGAAAAGGCGAGTGTTGGCTTGGCGGATTGCTGATGTGCGGGTGGTGGCGTGCGTTGGTGTACGCCGCTAGGCGCATCATCTACATCATCCACATCGATATCGTCCTCTTCATCGTCCTCGCCTTCCTCTTCCGCATCCTCATCTTCTGTGGTGTGGCCGCGCGCTTGTGCGCTGCTGCTAGGCGTCGCCGTTTCGGCATCCGCATGAAAACTATCACCCATGATGGAGTCACTCTCCTCTTCCTTGATCGTCATTGTGGAGGCAGGTGTGGATGAGGGCGTGGAGGAGCCGCCTGGGGAGGCGACCAACCGCTGGTGCAGTGAGGCGGCATGGTTGGCGGCGGCCAACGCGGTGGCCGCATCAAAGCCGCCAGGATGATGATGGAAGGCGGCGACATTGACCAGCTGTTGTTGATGCAGCTGCTGCAGTTGTTGTAGGTGATGCAAATGTTGGAGCTGCTGGTGTTGATGATAGAGTGTGGCAGCGGCGGCTGCATTGGTGGCGACTTGCGACACAGGATGTGGCAGCATTGTGGCAGTGGCAGGCGCGGCGGCTATGTGTGGTGGAGGTGGCGGTGGCGGATGTGGATGTAGGCTCATGTCCAGCACGGTATTGGCTGTGGGGCTGAGGCTATATTGCGAGTGGTGTGATTGCTGCTGCTGCTGCTGCTGGTGGTGCTGCTGCAGGCGGTGCTGGTGTGGCGATTGCGGTAGGCCAGGCGGACTTGGTGCAGATTGCGGACTGCAGCGATCCTCTAGGGCCATTGGTAGTGCCGTGGCGATTTTGGTTGCACGTACGTTGACGTGGCAGGAACGCGGGTGAGGGATTTCACAACTTTTTGAATATTTGAAAATTAAGTTTTTGCATTTACTTTGTAGGATTCAAAAAATTGTCACACTTGCATGAAATAAATCAGTGTATTCACAAAATTATCTAAATAATTTTTTTTCTCAATTTTGTTTATTTAAATTGTTAATATTCCTGCTTTCTTTTAGCTCGCGCACTTGTCACTTGTAACACTTGATTTTTTTTTTTGGTTTTGTTTTTGCCTCGCCCAATTCCGTAGGCGTTCACGTTTTCAGTTGAAGTTCAATTCGCTTCTAGTCAAAACACTTGTTTCTTAGCCAAAGAAGAAAACACGTTTGCTACTCCGTTTTTTTTTCTTCTACTTGCATCGCTGCTTCTTCTTGACTTGCTTGCTTGTTTGCTTTCTTTGCTTTACTACACACGACTGCGACGCACACGTCTGTTCACGGCGAACGCAACGAGTAAATTAACTAATCACAGTTGCTTATCGTCCCAATGAAGCGACAACTCCAGCACAAACTATGACGACTTCAACAACGCTGAGCGACAGTCACAGCCAGTCACACAGATTGAACTGTTAAGCCTGTCAAACGGGCTGCCTGCAAGCAGGCAAGCAGGCAGGCCGGTCGACCAATATTCCTGCACTCTCGCTCACAAGGCGAGTGAGCACGCACGCAGCGCCAATGTCAACGCTAAATGTGTGAGAGCGAGCGAGTGCGCCAATCTGCTGGCGCTGCACACAATTGGAGGCTGAGTTGTGGTGGTTGGTGGTTGTTTGCGCGCGCCACAGCCAAGTGTATGTATGTTTGTGTCTGCGCTGCGAAGGCGGATGATTTGACTGACAGGCCGTGCGACTGATTGGCTTGTGCACCGTGTGTTTGTTGTTGTGCTTGTTTTTTTTTTTTACTAATGCTGCTCCTGCTCCTGCAATTGTGCATTTGTACGTACGAGTACTTAGTAGCTGGCTGGCTGTCCGTTTTGATCGATTACCTACTTTGGCACAGCTTTGACAGAACTACGCTGGAGTAAGCTTCCCCAACGACTGATATCTATGCTGATGAGCAGCTGATAGCTCGCAGATAGATCGGCGACGACGTGCAGTTTGTCGATGCGTCGGCGAGGGGGACAAAGGCAGGCAGTTAGAAATAACTGAGAGGTTGGAGCAGCTAAAGTATGCCCGGCTGGGTGGCGGTTAAGCGACGAACTGAGCGGGATTATTATTTCAATTATGCGATTTTTTTGAGTGGTCAAAAGTGGAGTAGATGTGGATGTGTGAGCAAAGCTTCCGAAAATATGTAATGTTATAGCAAAAGTGAGGCATTTGAATGTTATTTTTTAGATAAACACTGGTTTTTTCATTGCAATTTTTGTTAGAAGGTAGTTCATTCTGCAATTTGTACATATACGCAAAAACTCTTGATTTTTTAATTTTATTTTGTATTTTTAACTGATCCAATGTGAACACTGAAAGAATGGAAAAAATAGTATCACTTAAACTGCTGGTGAAATCGGCAGTTAAAGTTTAAGTATTTTTTTAAATTTTTCGGCTTTCAATGATAACTAGTTTGATTTTTATTTAGTTCCGTTGTTTGCTTGCGTTTAAGTTAATTTTATTTAGTTTTTTCTTATTTAATTCTATTTAATTTAATATAAATTTATATATGTATCCGGTTTTATTTGATTTTTATTTAATTTTATTTTATTGGCTTTTCTTTGATTACCTTTTAATGCCTTAGCTTTTGTTTTCCTACATTTTGTAATAATAAATTATTTCATTTTGTTCAAATTATTTAAAGAATTTTTTTTTATTTTATTTTAAATTTTTTAGTTTCTTTATTTCATTTTGAAATTATTTTCCCTACTGAGTTTTAATATTCCATTTTTATTTTGGTTTTCATTTTACCTAGTATTTTGTTGTTTTATTTAAAGTTGTCGATTATTTTATTTTATTGTTTTATACATATATCTACATTGTTTCTTATTTGAATCTTACTTAATTTTATTTTTATTTATTTTAATTCGTTTTATGTTGTTTTATTTATATATATTTTTTTGCTTTACTTTTTATTTATTTTCCACTTTTTTTTTTGCTTGAATTTAACTTTATTTTGTTTTCTCTAATTTACTTTAATTTATGTCTTCTGTTTTATTTGATTTATATTTTAATTTTGTTTATTAACTTTTCTTTCAATTCCCTTTTAGTGACCTAACATTTGTTTTGTTTTATTTTATATTACTTATTTTATTTAACTTTGTTTAAGTACATTCAAACAAAATTATTTTATTTTATCTTCATTTTTTTACTTATTCTGTTTTTTTATTTATATTTTATTTATTCAAATTATTTTGCTATATTATTTTATTTGGATTAGTATGAATGTTTGCCAATACTTTGTGCGAACAAAATATTTTAAGCCAAATTTTATGCCGTTTAATTATTAAAATTATTATCAAACCGTTTATCGGGTCTTCGCTTTAGTGGTCACGGAAAAAATAATTTCGCAAAAATTTATTAAAATTTCAATAATTGTTTTTTTTTT